CAACAAGCAGACGAAAACTAAAATAGAGGAGGTAATCAGGCTTTGCTCAGCAAGATACTAAGAAATTCTCCCCCTCTCTTGAGAATTGTATCTTCGCAGCATAATTTTAATAGCAATGCAAAATACTACAACAACTGAATATCAACACTAGGAAAATAGCTCACCCCGTAGAATAATAAACAGGACTGTAAGAGCAAAACTATTGTAATGTAAGCATATTACTATCCAGTTTGTATGTACTTGATAAAAATAATATTGTAAAGCAGTTTAAATGATATTGAAAAATCCAGTCAATGTGTAAATGAATTACAAGTTTAATTTGATTATCTCAGTAAAAGTATTGTAAATATGAATTCATATAATGTTTAAATGTACACATAGCTGTCATGATTTTATGTATCTATCATATGTAACTTGTACAAGACAATGATTGTAATCCACAGGCCTTGTATGCCCATGTAATATTTTATATGTATATTTTTACACGGAGGAAATTTTCCCTTCTGCCAGGATGACTATTAACACTGTAAGACTTTTACAACAAAGTCAGGTCAGTGGTTATCTCAGGCGGCGCTCAGTACATCAAAACAGTTTATGTAGCCAAGCTTCATAAAATGTTCGTGGATGGTCGATTTTTTATCATATTTAACATTCTGATAATTTACGTGTCGTGTAGCATGGGTTATTCTCGATCAGTATTTTAATCCGATCTGCATTTGTGGCGGAGGGCCTACACGGCGTTCTTGACCTTTAATATTGAAATCACCTACCGTAAACCTAACAAAACACTTCCAGACATTTCTTTCAGCTACAGCACCTTTGCCATAAACAGCGCATATCTTGTTTGCCGCTTGTGCAGCATTTTTGCCATTGTTGCCTAAAAGTAAAGCATTAAATGCCTAAAATGCACTTTGTTTCCTTCCATATTCAAAGGCGTATAAAACTCACAAAAATTACATATCGTAACCAATTTTTTTCCCCAAATATGCCTGAAATACCGTCTTTTACGATATGTAACGATGCCATTTATTTTCAATAGTTCTTATATATTCAGAACTGTCCTTATGCCACATACCAAAAATTGGCACGAACTTTTCAGAGAACCGATTACATTAAAAATGATATATGTGCAATTAAAGTAGCCAGTTTACAAAACCGGAAACGTATTTTTTTCCTGCTGTTTCGATCTATCTTTTCTACCATCTGCTGTTTTGATCGATCTCGAATACCACGAGTTAGACTGCGCGCTTAACATCATGCATAGTGCAAAAACACACACAGAAGTGTACCAAATATTTTACAGAAATTCAACAATGGTGGTTCATTTCATTATAGCATAATTCATAAAACTTAAGACCGGTGGCCGAATGATTAAAACAGCTGAGTACTGGTAGTTCGACTCAGCTTCAGTCTCAAGTGAATGGGCTGCACGGTTGGTTTTCGTTCTTTTGCCCATGTGCAGCATGAATACAAACCAGTTTCCGTTAGAAAATTGTCCACGAAGGCATCCCTTCCCTTAGGCAGAAAGCCCTCGAGTGTTTTGCGATATTCAAATAACCCTAATCATAGTCACTCTTTGAAATTAGAGCATGCATGTCGATGCCTTGTGTCGGTCTAGGAAGAATACTATTACTTAATATAAAATGAAAGGAAAAACTACATGACTTATGTGTGTTATGACGACAATGCATGCTTGAATTCGTCGAGGCAAGGAGTGGTAGAGGTTCCTAACGTCATCCTGCCACACATTCTGCCAGGCATTCATTAGTTGTCGCTTCAGATCTGCGATATTTTGTGGTGCCCGAAACTGGCGGCCTACCATGCCCCAGACATGTTCGATTGGTGAAAGGTCTGGTTACCTTGCTGGCCAAGGAAGAGTATCAAGCGCACGGAGACAGCCAGAGATATGCGAGCGGTATGTGGCTTGGCATTATCTTGTTGGAAAATGGTCTCAGGATGACATACCATAAAGGGTAATGCAACCGGCCGCAGGATAGTATCAACATATCGTTGAGCTGTTAAAAGATGTACGGATAATGACTAAAGATGACCTGCTGTCATAAGAAATAGCGCCCCACACCATCACACCAGAGGTTATGGCATTGCCGCCAGGGGCGCTTCAACCAACTACTAATTTGAACATTCAATGGGTGAATGTGAGCCATGGAACAGGTACACAATCACCCTATATGACCTTGATTTTTTAATCATTTTATTATCTGCGTATGAGCTATACACATATACAATTTCATCAAAAACAAAGGCTGATTGGGATCGCTGGCCCCGTCCTCTCCAGATACGAACACGGTGTTCATCTGCTTCAAGAGTGAAGCGGGAGAAGAGGATATCACTGTAACATATATAAATTTGAAGTTCAATTGATAAATTTGGAATAATAAGGCATTACCTGTTTAATAAAGAATTATAAAATGTATTGTACACTATATCACTTCCTAGATCGTACTGTTACGAATTTTTTTATAATGTAACATAAACGGCCTCAAAAGTCAAGCTTTGTAGGAAAAATGAGATAACAGGGACAACGTTAGATTTAATGTCGATATAGTCTTGGCGACTAAATTTGTTGCCAAATTTGACGAGAAATCGCTTTCGGGACATTTTGTTTCGGTCCCTGTATAACTATAATTGATCCCTATACTTAATCCGGTCTTTATAGGCAACTTTATATAGATGGTATAGTGGTTAAGGAAGTCTAGTGCGGTACCGAACAGCCCGATTTCGAATCCCGGAGAAGGCACGGATGTTTGTAAGTGTATAGTGTCTTTGCGGCATGAGAGCACTCTAAATATATGGTGAGCTGAAAGTCCTCTCGAGAGACTGTTGGTAAGGGTTGAGGATGAGCCCCCGGACCCGTCCTCCCCCCGGGTTGCTCTCCATCAAAATTGCGGTCAGAACTGAGCGAAGACGTACTGTCATCTGTATATGGTACTCAAGCCAACGACAGGCACAGTTTTTGCAATGAATTTCGTGGGCTTGTGCTGATGTTACTGTCAGACAAGTGAGATAAGTCATAACAGCACAACAAGGAGTGTACATAGCTTCCAGTAATTTCGAGAAATGGATGGTACTGGAAATTTCTCAGCGGCCAGAGAAATACTGTATAAGATCGAAGAGAGCATCTGTTTTCAATTTTTAGTTCAGAGTTAACTTCAGAGTATTGAGAGATCTCCATGCGAACTTCCCTTTTGAGACCGCTTTGCATTGTGCTGTGTTTAACGTTTCTAGTAGTTTGACGTGGTGACTACTGAGTATACTCTGTCATACTGAGATGAGCTTTAAGAGTAGTTTTGTGGAAAATTCCAGAACTGTAAAGTGAAAAGCTTCACTTTTGTGAAAATAAATTTTATCAAGCTATTACGAAACCGTACGCACGTAACAGTATTATAGTATTGTTAACACAATCATATAAAATTAACTTTCGAAAATCTTGCTTTCTTGCTCATGGATAAAATACCACGGCTTATCTCAACTTTAGGAGCACTGGTAGCAACACTACAGTTAGACTCGAAAGCAATTGTAAAGTAAATTAAAAAAATTCTGAGTATGACGATTGCGTCAAAATGCGACTAACAAGGATATTTTTAGAAGCAAAGCTGAAAGAAATTTAAGAGGAAAATCCGTGTATCCGAAGGGAGCAGAAGTAAAATATTTCGATCACTGACAACCGTTGTTCTCTGCTGACCTTTTTATAACCATCGTGGGAGAAAGCTAAACTAAGAAAAGCGCAGTTTTGAGGAACAACTTGTTGCCTGAGATCCTAAGTTCAGAATATGGCGATTTTCATTCCCACCTCCCATTCGGCTACATCTGTTAGGAAAGTTGTATACAGTTCTGATTGCTGTGGGAATATAGAGCTTAGCTTAGCTTGTTTCAGTGGCTGTGTTTCACATTTGGTATTATACATTTTGAAACGTCCGCTCTGACCGTTGTGAACAGCAGACAACGGAAACCGTGGATACTGTGCATGATGAGCGCGCATGGGAATACTATTGTACTCAGGATTCATATCGATGTTAACATCGATACGAATTCTGAGTTTGTAGTATTTTGAAGCAAGAATCACGAAAAATGAGCAATGCCCTCGCCAGAACTCGAACCACGGACCTCTCGAATACGCGGCGAGCGTGCTGACCACTACACCACGAAAGCACATGACATCATTTTTTTCATTGGGACATGAAAATTTCGTAAAATTTCCTAAGAAGGAATGGACCTGAGCACTAAGATTAGTGCGGGTTCTCCTAAGGGAAGTAGACTGGTGTGGCGCCATCTATGGGCTACCGTGGCATTTGACTTGGCAGAGTGCAGGCTAATGTGTCGCCATTTGTTGGTAGTCTCTGTAGTATGAAGAAACTGATAAGCATGGCAATAATCTTGGCATTTAGTTACCTTCGGAAAATCTGAGCGTAATGTCAACAATTCTGAAGGCTAATAACATTTTTTTTGTGGTGCTGTTTGAGTTTTTAATAATTTTTTTGTGGTGCTGTTTGAGTTAATAATTTTTGTGACGCTCTGAAGGAGTTTGAAAACTTTTGGATCTAGGAAAACTTGAGTAATTTCGGATACTTGTTCTTCAGCCTTAGTTTTCTGTTTAACTGCAGTGCTGAAATTTAATTTTGAAAATTCTGGAATTTCATGCTAAGAAGGCGGAAGAAATACCTTATATACTCCTCCTTTTAAAGGGCAAATGGGGATTAGGGGACCTAGTCGCCAAATCCTGGTGGTGGAGAATCACCATCCACCACCTTTTTTTTTTTTTTTTTTTTAGTTCGGGCAACCCTTGTAGAGACATTAAGGATTTTTTGAAGCAGGAGTCATGAAAAATGAGCACTGCCCTCGCAGGCATTCGAACCACGACTTCTCGAATAAGCGCCGAACGTGCTGACCACACCCCAAAGGCATGCTAAGAAGGAAGAAGAAATACCTTATAAGTTAACATAGAAAAAAAAAAAAAAAAAAAACACTCAAAATTTAATTACATTACTGATAACTGCGAGATGAGCCAAGAGTTCGAGGATGCTGAACCAAATTCCGATATTCTGTGCTCTTTCTGCTACCACCCTTCGCGTTTCGCAGACGAATTTTTGAGCATCCAGACGGATCTCGACCCAGTTGTTCAAAAGTGCAAAAAGAGGTGCCAGTGGAAAGGCGGCCACGAAGATTGTGATGAAACCAAACTGCAGAACTGAAATCAAATGATACAACTTTTGTGATAAATGATTAAAAACTACTATAGTTAAGGAAATAAAATCTTTAAAATATTAGTTTTATCAAACTGCATTAAATTATAACATATATTCAGTGTTAAGGATTTTTTTCTCTGTATATTTTTATTCCTGTGCTGCACAATAAATATTATTGTACGGCTGGATTTTTAATTATTGAATTTTCGCTCTTTAAAACTTTCCATCCAAAACAGCAGTAGTGTCCGTAAAATTCGAAAGGTTAAGTTCAGTGGAACACTGGATATTGGATAACAGCAAACGCTGTACACACCGTGTCTATAAAAGTCCGCACCTGGCCTTTATTTTGCAGTAGTTGGTCATAGACCTGTAAAATTATCCAATTATAAAAATGATGCAAATATTCATGTTTTACGATTTCTAAACTTTAAAAAAATTTAACTTTGACGTCTACTCTCCTTTATTGAACTATAATATACAAGCGCAATTTAGAACGTTCTGAGACAAAGTTCAAAGAACGTTCAGTTAATAAACATGCGAAGTACTTTCTGATTGTTCATTACACGTATTCGACGATTTAAAAGAAATGTCTTCTCACTGCTCGACATAAAATATTTTTATCTTCCACGCGCGCACAAGTGTGTTGCGACTCGGAAATGCGTAAGATATTCAATTTTTTCTTTAATCTGCCTGTTATAGATTAACAAAGTAGATGATTTCAAATCAATAAAAACAGTTCTTATAATTAATCTCAACTATTATTAATTACTAGTTGGAACAGTGACATTGTACTTGCTTCATTCATTATAATGTACACAGCGAAAAAAAAGGGGAGGGGGCAGTTCTATATATCTCTGTTCTACTGGTTCGATTGACCAAATTCAACTTGCGTTTTTCATCTCTCGAAAGCGCGACTTAGGATATGTATTAGATTTATATATAGCATTGTTCTAATATAGGTAATTTGACAAAAAAAATAGGATTTTTTATGAAATAAGATAACATTTTTTTTCCTATATTTCGATTCTATGACTCGAAATACGCCAAACTACCAAGTTTTGTAAAAATCGCAAGAGAATTTTTTAAAAAATCAGCTCTCAAAATTTTAGCTTCTTAATGTTAATTTAGTATATATATATTTATTAATATCTCTCTTTTTATGAAACTTATTTGATTCTTCCCTTCACATTTTCAAATTCAGGTTCATTCCAAATAAAATTCAGCCATTTTTTATGATTTATTAAAAAAAAATTTAACTAATTTTTATAAATTTTTCAAAAACATTTTGAATTATAATCTATAAAAATGTTACCGTCCTTAAATTAGACGTATTTCTAAGTATACCTGCAAAAAAAATTACAGCTTTTTATTCAAGGTTTCCGAAGATAAATGTGAATTTATGTACTGGCGCGTTTTCAAATTTGGCATATTTGTTGAAAGCGATAAAACATCAAATGCGGTTTAGACACTTTGCTAAAACTATTTGAAAGTAGTAACGATGTGACTTTTTTTCCTCTCATGCATAATGGAAGGGAAAGGAAAATTGTTTACCATGTATTAAGAAGTTCGCCACGGCGAACTTCTTAATATCCTCGCGCAAACTGAAAAAAAATTGCGCCAAGTAAATTTTTGAATTTCTCTGTAAATTTCGCACCAAATTTTTCAAAATTTAATATCTAGGCATGATTTGAGTCGCAGAATCGAAATACGGAAAAAAATTGGCATCTTATTTCAGAAAAAGTCCGATTTTGTGTCAAAATACCTATGTTAGAACAATGCTATATACAGTGGCTCCCAAAAGTGTTTGTACACTTATGATTTTCATTGAAATAGGGCTCAATCCATTAATTAAAAGTAAACTTTCTGAATGAGGTTTTAATAATAAGATCTATAATCTGTTCGTAACAAAATTACATGAAAAGTTTTTAAAATATAGCAAAACTTTATTTTTAAGAAATTAATAATCAAAAAATGGCAAACATTTTATCTCAGAAAAGTCTTCGTACTACTTAAAAAAATCCTGACATATTAGTAAATATTTTCATTTTTCATTAAATTAATATTAGTAGGATATCCTTTAGCATCCACAACAGCTTTTAAACGTCTGTTTAAAAGTTTAGTCTGGGAATAGATTTTACTAGTTTTTTTTTTTTTGTAATTTCTGTACCAATGTTCATCCATTCTTCTATAATGGCTGCTTTGAGTTCGCTTTTGTTTTGATGTCGTGTTTTCGTATTCTAACCTCCACCTCTTTCCAAATGTGTTCTATGGGGTTTAAATCTGGCGGTGGTGTTTTCAAAACCTGTGGACAATTATAAAGACACTACAGGCGAACGTTGAGAGCCGTATACTTAAGATCGTTATCATGATTAAAAATAAAGTTGTTTCCAATACCCAAATTTTGGGCTGATAATTTTAAATTGTCTCTTAAAATATTTAAATAAAGAGAATGATTCATTACGCCATCAATAAATACCAAATTGAGTCCTGATGCTGTCATGCCCCCCCCCACAAAAGAACACCTCCGCAAATAGGACATTATTCCAGTACGTTTCGGGTGTATTTATCATTGATTTTGCGAATGAAAGCCTAAGCTTTCTGTTTTTCTCACTAACAATTTTTTTTTTACGGGCAGAATGCCCATGTAATCCAGCTTCTCTGAGATGATTGATTTACCACAACTATGGTTGAAAAATTATCAATTTTCGAATGCTGTTTTAATTTCTTTACGACTGCGACCCATTTATCAATAATAAATAGGATATTAAGTAAACAAATTTTTAAATGCCACAACAATGCAAAAATTAAAAAAAGCGGCAAAACGATAATTCTAATTTTGATGTTATCCAAAAATATTTCAGTGTACGAAGACTTTTGTGAGATAAAATGTTTGCCATTTTTTGATTATTAATTTCTTAAAAATAAAGTTTTTAGGAATTTACGCTACATTAAAAAAAATATTTCATGTGATTTTGTTACGAATCGATTCTAGATTTTATTATTAAAATCTCATTCAGAAAGTTTACTTTTAATTAATGGATAGAGCTCTATTTCAATGAAAATCGCAAGTGTACGAACACTTTTGCGAGCCACTGTATATCCTAAGTCACGCTTTCGAGACATGAAAAACGCAATTTGAATTTCCACAATCAGCACAGTAGAACGGAATATATAGAAATTCCCCCTTTTTTTGCACAGTGTACTTTTTTTCTTTTTTATAGTAATTATTTTAGGCGATTAATAATAAATAAAAAATAGAATACATAGCAGTAGTGGAAAACGGAGAGTTCAGCGACAGGAGGCGGTGCGCGGTGCAAGCGGAGGCGCAGCAGATAAGTAGGAATGTTTCCGGATTCTTGATTTAGTGGGATAAGATGACATCACACTTTGATAAGAGATTATCTTTCATTGATTTTTCGGAGGTTCTTTGTTAATCCATGTTTGGACTTTATATTTTCTTTTGTATCCCAGCTATTTTACTAAGTATATGATGGTTATTTTCTAGGTACCTTTAACGACGATTATTTTCGAATTTAATGATTAATTCAGAAGGCCTTAATTTTAGATGTAAATTTTTTTAAGACTTCCCTATATACTCAGAATTTTACCTTATTTCCTAAATCTTCTGTTCATAATACTAGATTTACTTTCCGTAATCTTAATTACATTACTCATTTTTAGTATTAAATTTATTCTACCTAGAAGTCCTTTTAATCAATACTTTTAACTTATCTGTTATATTTTAGAAGTGTAATTACAAAAACACGCGTTTTTTATGTGTTATTTTATTCAATGTTAGATGCAATTTTTTTTTTGCTCTTTTTAAAGTTAGCTATCTTCAACATACTCTGTATTTTAACTTATTTCATGCATTTTGATCATATAGATGACCTTTACTTTATTTAGAGATGTTACATTTTTAGCTTGTTTTATACATTTTAACATCATAATATTCAATGTACTCTAATTTTTAACCAATTATATTTTCCACACTACATACATGAATGTTATTGGATTGTTTTCATACATTTTAACCTTCATAATTTCCAATATAGTCTTAATTTTAACACAATTCCTATATTTTCAGATCATATACCTAACTTTTACTTAACTTTAGATGTAAATTTTAACTTCTTTATACTTTTTAATGTTTTTAGTTTCAAACATACTCTGAATTTTTAACTAATTTGCTAGATTTTCACACTATGTACATGACTTTCATTTAATTTTTAACTTTCTTACGTTTTAACCTTCGTAATTTCAAACATATCCTTAATTTTAGCTTAATAATTACTCTATTTCTTACCATATATATGAACTTTATTTAATTTTAGATGATATTTTTAACGTGTTTCATACATTTTAAACCTTCGTAATTTTTAAAGTACTCTAATTTTGAGCTTGTTTATTGCATCTTCCTACCTATCTATATACATGAATTTTAATTAATTTTAGATGTATTTTTTATACCTTTCTAACACTTGTTTTTTTCTAGTTTCCAAAATACTCTAAATTTTAACTCTTCTTTATAATTTTCGATTGTAATTACGCTTTTGATTTTACTATTTGAGCTAAATTTAGATGTTTCAGTGTCTTAAATATAGAGACAGTTTCCAATTAAACATTTATTTTATTTTAGAACCTTTAACTGTTATTCCAACCCAATTTGTTGAATGGCCTTACTTAGTCTATATTTTATAGTACTGTTTTAATTTGCCTACTGTACAATTTATCTTTCTGTGTACTCTTACCATGACTGATTCTACTATTTTCCTTCTATATTAACTTCATTCGCATTTTCAAAATTTAACATTTCTTGCATATTCTGGTATTTTCTTACATCATTTATATCTGAATATATGTTTTTTAAACCCTTCAGTATTACCAATGTTCAGTTTTGAACCTCGATTGCATATTAAACTAACTTGATTGGCTCCGAATTTTTAGAATGGATTTCTCAGTTTTCGTCTATAATTTTAGAACCATTTTCACTGATTCATGT